TGTCACGCCCCCAACTTAGGGGTTAGGACATGACAATGCCACATACCTTTAGGAGTGACCCCAAAAGCATGTAAGGCTAAATCAGTCTCTAAAATTCATCCCTGCAGCTTTGCATAAAATTTATTCTTCACTTTTAAGAAAATTAATAGAAAAATGTATATATGATAATAATACTCCAGCATCTAAAGTCAATTCTACACCAAAAATCTGAAGTATAACTAGCACTAAATTAAAATCTCTTTATTTCAAATGTCCACGAATGCTAAACATAATGGGAAAGAAGTAAATAGTCTATTCCTAAGGTGGCTCTCTATTTCCCCTGCATCCCAGATGTTCCATGTTTAGTATCTGAAAACATTAAATAAAACAATGTGAGCTCCACATGCCCAATAAATAGCATACCCAACTAGTACGACCAAGCATAATTATCTTAATTAAAAAGTGATAGAAAATAAATAATGAAATTATATTGGATGAAACAATTATAAAGAACTCATCAGTAAAACAATTTTTCAATCCCACATGGCTGTGGCACATGAATATCAACTGGTCGTTCGATACTCTATTACGACAAGATAAATAAAAAAAATGAACTGTTCAATGGTCTAACACAATTTACCGTTCAATAGTCTAACACGGTTTACCGTTCGATAATCTATTACGGCACGATAATCTAAAACGATTCCCGACTCAAACAACTACCATCAGAAACCCTCGAGGCAAGGTTATCCAACGATTCCATGTAAAACAAGTTACCTTAATTTCAAATAAAATTTCAACTCCAAAGTCTCTATATCACAAAAATATCAAATCCCCTCATCTCAAATAGTTGACAACCAACATGCTTAATCCACATTTATTAAAGAAAGAAAATGATAAATAAATATACACATAAACAAGTAAATGCATTCCAAAAGAATACCACAAGGAAATAGTTAAAAAAATACTTAGATTTCAAATAAATTAATTTCACAATAACAAGTGGAAGAATAATTTATTTTTCCAGCATTTCTAGAAAGGGTAATGCCACTTACCTCAGTTATTGACCTGGCACCAGTGAATGCAAAGCCAAGAATTATTTAGACCCTTTTCCTACAAACAATTGTTCATTTCAGCCAAATTCCACACACTGTATGCCTCTAATTATGAATCAACATAATTCCAAAAATCCCTAC